CAGTCATTGTTACTTGTCTCTAGTCTATAGCCTGATCTAAATATTTAATAATGATGATTTAGTAGCATAGCCATGGGTTCCTCAACTAAATCTCACAGAATACCCAAGGTAACCTTGCAGCTGCTGATTATGTGCCTCCTAGAGACTAGCAAATGAGTTTTTCTCCAAACAGCCTTTCTTCCACATTTGATCTTAGCCTATGGGTAAATTTCAATGTCGTCATTATATTTCAACACAAAATTTCCTGCTGAAGCATGACCTAGTATTCAGAAAGAAATATGCTGAGGTTGAGAAATCTGGAAGATAAACAGCTTGGGGAAGGAGAAATTGGCTGTGACTAGCACAAAACACTGTAGGGAAACTGCTCTTCAAAGCACTGTTTGTTTTACAGTGGCTCCAGGAGCATCCACCGTGATGCCTGTGGCTCTCCACATGGAACTCAGCAAGTGTGACTTTGTCCCGTCTGTGGCTCGGAGGGAACCTTGGGGCTTAGGAGAGGAATCTCTGTTATAGCCAAGCTCCCCTTCATGCTAATCTGAAGGTCCTTGATTGACATCTATCTTAAGCAGGGTTGATTTCTCCCTCCAATAATTCAGTTTTCTCGTACTTTTCCCTAGTTAATAAAACCACACCAGGCGTTGGATAATTTGGAGAGTAGTATGATTAAAATATTGACTGAGATTGATAGTGCTTTGTTGGGTTTCAAGAGTAACTCCTCACAACAAAATTTCTGATGTGAACATATGTATAAAAGAAGGGAGATAAAACACTATATTGACTTGCTGTGGGCACAAGCCTTGCTGTGGAAACCCTTGGGAAGCTTGACTACATGATTAGCGGGCCTCTTTTTCCCCAACAGGGTCTTATGGACATTAAACCAAGGCTGTCTAGTCTATTCTTTCACAATACAAACTCAGATTGGCACTTAACTGTTCTGGAGAGAAACTTACAACCTCACAAGCCAGAAAAAGTAAATGCTGAGTATGGGACTGAATTATTTATGTCCACAAATTCCCAGTTTTAGGGAAAGGAGCCCAATAAGTGCCCTAGAATATGACCACCCCAGGAGAACCCTCCCCTCTAGGGCTAGAAAACAGGAGAGTTGAAGGCAGGAAGGAATTTATGCAGAGGTCTGTTGGGACCTCAGCCCACAAACCACTGTCCCTAATTCTATTACCATGGCCTCTAATATGTAGGGAAGAAACTGGATCTATCCTAAGAAAAAGGAAACAGAATCAAATGTTCTGTGGTTCAGCCTAATTAAGCTTTCAACATTTTCACATTTAAACTTTTTTTATTTGTTTTTCAAGAAAATGTATTTGTTACATTAGCATCTGCAGATGATCAATTTATTATTCTCTTGGATCTTAGAGTTACTTACAATTTTAATATATTGGATATTTTCCCCCATTTTAGTGCTATGTAGATATAAGAATGAACTCAGTGATAGACTGAGGAAATTGAACCAAAATAACAATACAGGACAGAACATCTATGTGGGAGAAAACTCCTTTACTTTTATTACTGTTTTTTTTTTTTAATTTAAAGAAAAGCTTTTGGATAATAGGTTCCCTTTTATTTAAAAGTTTATCTCATGATTGTGTCAAAGTAGTTTTTGCATTATTCTGCCTTTCTTGTTACAATCAATATGTTGTGAATAGGCTACTTCCTTTTTATTCTTATGTTTCATAATAATATGTAAAACTGTTATTCCACTTTTTCTTTTTGCTCTGTGTACTACATAGATCTAGAAACAAGATTTTAAAAGATTTTTTTAATCAATTTCATTTCTTATGATTGGAAAAGAACAATAATTAGGCACCCTGGTTTGAATTGTTCTAATTTATGCTTAAATTATAAAATTGATACAATAATCTCTTCAATTGTGTTAGCCAAGCACTTGAACGTGTGGTTCAAGTGGTAGAATTTGGGGCAAGCATTTGATGTAGCAGTTTAAATGCCTCATGGGATGCCTATATTCCATATTATAATGCCTAGGCTTGAGTCCTGGCTCCTAATTCCAGTTTCCTGCTAATGCACATCCTAGGAGGTACTGGGTGATGGCTCACATGGTTGGTTATCTGCCACCCACATGGGAGACCTGGATTGATTTTTAGCTCCCAACTTTTGCCTGGCCCCATCTGTGCTATTGTAGACAACTGGGGAATGGACGAGCAGTGGGAACTCCATCTGTCTGTATCTCTGCCTTTCAAATAAATAGGAAACTAACAAACTAAATAAATAAAATTTTTAAAAGCTTAGAGTATTTTTATAGCTTCTACAAAAGTTGATTATTACATGATATTCAAGGTTGGATTTGTGCTATCACGAACATCTCAATTTGCTTGTTCTGTTATTTTCCTGGGCCCTCTTGGCTGTGAATTCATGACCTAATGTGTGTTTTGTTTCACTTTTACTACTTTCCTCTCCATTTTTAGATGGAATGCATTTTCTGAAAGAACTCAGTTTAGAGTCCTTTCCTCATTTTTCTGTGTTTTTACACATCCCCATGGTTCGGAGATATATTCAGGTGAATTTCTAATTCTCATCTTTTTTTCCCTTGTTTTATTTCTTCTCTGTTTCACAAAGCTAGCTAGCCCAGAGCCCATTATCATACATGAAGTTCATCCTTTCTATTAAGCTGGCTAATGACCACTATGTAGAAAGGCATGGCCTTTACAGATTCTAAGAAAACTTACTTAAGAAAGCAGTGTCAGTGCATAATTACAGCAGAAGTTTTAATCTTATGGTGTTTACAATGCACCAAACACTTTACATTTTATGTTCTCTCATTTAATCCTTTAAAACAGCACTGTAAGATGGATATGGTTTACCCTGGTCCTCAGACATAGTAACACCAAAGTGTAATCCTATGTTCAATATATCCGCAATCCAAAACTTATCTGTGTCATGTGTGTCATGTCCATCACTGTCACACTGTCATTGTGTGGACTCCTTCTAATATTCAGGACCCTACTTCTGAAATTAGCCACATGCCCCTTATGTCCCTCAGTATAATGGTGGCCAATTGAAAAGAATGGGACACTCTTAGGTCTCTCAGAAGTGATCTCTGAATGTCGCTGGCAAGGTTACCTCCCCAGTTTCTTTGGCTGCAATGACAAAGTCACCAGCATGTTACCCTGGTCACTCGAACTCATCTCTTCTGTCACATCCCTCAGGGGCACACTACTATTTTTTTCCCTAGGGGTCTATGGACTGTTTGTTGGGAGATTAAAATCTTCAGTTAATGTGAAATTGCACAGCCTTAATCAAACATGTTTACTTGGTTATGAGAAGTATGGGAGCCATAGCTTATTATACATTACCTTTGTTGTCTTCCTTGTGATTACTTGAAGAGTTTACACCTTTGTGGGTGACATACTTCCCTCCTCTGCGTCTCTTCGTTATTAGCAGCACTTCATTCTGTGCCCTGCTGCTCCGCAGCAGCACTGTTGAAGAAGGTGCTCTGTGTGACTAGACTGGAGTCAAGAGGTTAGGCCCGTTTTCAACAAGGGCCAAAAGAAGACTTGCCTCACTCACCAATGGAACCATAATCACCTGAGGATGAAATCCATGAAGAAAAACCCGTTCTCCAACTCTGTTTTTACCATTTGTCTGGTGGTTATATGAATCAGAATTTCTTTCCCTGTTGTTAATATGTTTTCCTTCTTTCTCATCTTTATAATTCCTACATCAAGCAAGTGTTCAGTTACCTTTGCATAGCAAACATCCATGAATGCTTAGAAAACGTACTTAATCTAGAAGCCCGACTTTAGCAATTTAAACTGATTTTTCCATTCCCTATCTTGAGCCTCTCAAATACAAAATCTAAAAATTGAATAACAGGAGAATATTAAATAATATCTGTAAAATTTGTCTACATAGTATAAAATACTTAGATTTTGAAATTTTATTTATTCTTTCCCCTGCTGGCAAACTAAACAAATAAAAGATAAACAAAAAAGCAAAACCAAAGGAGACCAACAAAAAATTCCACAAACTCCAAATCTGCTATAATTTACATGAAACAAAGTGAAATCAACAAAATCTTTGTTGCTAAGTCTACTTGATCATTAATATTAGTACATGTTATTTTGTAAAATTATATGAAAATATTTTAAATCTGTTTATTTGCTTTAGTCTGTCCTTTTTCTCTTCATTTCCCTGTGCTTTTTTCTCCAGTTCTCACTTTACTTTTGGCTGTCTTTGCATAAGTCTGCAGCAACTCAAGATTTTAAATCTTGGACATTCTGTCTACTCAAATGCCATCTAAGAGTAAAACTTTGAGGAAAATAATTCCTCCGTGATACCTTAGTAGTCATGAAGAAAGAATTGATCCAAAAACATGAAATTGTTTCTTGTTTAAAATCTGCAACCATTTTTACAGTGTTTCTAGTTTTTAGGTTCAGAAAACTTTTCTTTTTTTCCTTTTTTTTAAGATTTATTTATTTATTTGAAAGTCAGAGTTACACAGAGAGAAGGAGAGGCAGAGAGAGAGAGAGGTCTTCCATCCAATGATTCACTCCCCAATTTGCTGCAAAGGCTGGAGCTGCGCCAATCCGAAGCCAGGAGCCAGGAGTTTCTTCCGAGTTTCCCACGTGGGTGCAGGGGTCCAAGGACTTGGGCCATCTTCTACTGCTATCCCAGGCCATAGCAGAGAGCTGGATGGGAAGTAGAGCAGCCGGGACTAGAACCGGCACCCATATGGGATGCTGGCACTTCAGGCCAGGGCGTTAACCAGCTGCGCCATAGCACTAGCCCCCAGAAAACTTTTCTCTTCTCTGCATTGAAGACAATTATATTGGGGGCCATATAACCACTACTATTATTATTGTTACAGACTGCACTCTAACTACCATAATTTAAATTTATTTTATATATAACTGAAACAATATACAGAAAATTATGCATTGATAAAAATGTCTTCAAGTGGAATACATGCACATTCCCTGTGTTTAAATTCTTTTAGTAAAATGTACATTTCTCTGAATTTTTCTTAGTCCCTGAACTTCATAGAAAAAACAAGCCATTGGTCACTTATGTGGGGGATTCTACCGTGTTGTCGTGTAAATGTCAAGATTGCTCTCCTTTGAACTGGAGCTGGTACAGCAGTAATGGGAGCACACAGGTAAGGCCACGTTTCTTTGATACGAAGAAAAAATCAACAAAACTTTTATTTCATAAATCACAAGATTCTCAACATTCCTACAAATGTCATCTTTTATTATGTATTCTTAAAGAACTGTGAAAAATGGAATTGTCTTTTGATAGTCTCAGCACATTATATTGTACATCTGAAGGTATTCTTAATGTTTCATTAGTTGGTATTTTGTTTTATAGGTTGAACAATTTATTGGCGTCCTTTGAAAGGAGGTTTCAATTCATTTTTAGTAACTCAGTTTAATAATAACCCCATAAAAACAGATTCTGTTTTTTCTTATCGTTCCAGGAAAGTAACTAGAAAAAAAAGCTTTCTTTTCCAGCTTCTCTCCTGAAATACCTTTGACTTAATGTAATATAATGGTACAGTTTGAAAAAAAGTGAAAAATTAGTAACTTGAACTTAGGTGTTAGGTTTTATCAGTAAATGCCATTGACCTTTTTTTTCTTAGCCTTCCAGATTCCTGTTGGTGGCCAAATATTGCACTTTGAATTACTATTTATTTAAGTGAAATGGCTATTCAAACAGTTGATAGGAAGAAAAACATGAGTATTCTAATAAATCATTTCTGGCTTCCTGTCTTTCTCCCAGAAAACCTCTAATGGCTGGGAAATTAGAACATTGTTCCTTAGGGTACACCCTTCTCTTGGCCTGGTGCTAATGAGAATTGAAATTAAAGTCTTGTTAAAGGCAAGCTGTAATTCTAGAAGGAACATATTAGAGGCTCTTGAAGGCTGATAAAGGAAGGACTTAGACAGGGCAGTGACTGTTTTGTGCCAACACTGGCTTAATTCTTCAAAGAAATAGTTCCAGAGCACATAGCTAGCGACTTCAACTGTGACTGCTTCCGCTTATCTTCTTCCTGGTGATTAGGAACAGCAGTCATTGTGCATGAGCAAATATTTTTTTAAAAAATCATGTAAATTTGTAAAAATAAATCTCAACTGGAATTTGAAATATACAGCCTGGTTACTTATGCATGTGTGATGTTAGACAATCAATAGCCTAAATTTTTTTTTATTTTTTAATTTTTTGACAGGCAGAGTGGACAGTGAGAGAGAGACAGAGAGAAAGGTCTTCCTTTGCCGTTGGTTCACCCTCCAGTGGCCGCTGCGGCCGGCGCACCGCGCTGATCCGATGGCAGGAGCCAGGTGCTTCTCCTGGTCTCCCATGGGGTGCAGGGCCCAAGTACTCGGGCCATCCTCCACTGCACTCCCTGGCCACAGCAGGGAGCTGGCCTGGAAGAGGGGCAACCGGGACAGAATCCAGCGCCCCGACCGGGACTAGAACCTGGTGTGCCGGCGACGCAGGCAGAGGATTAGCCTAGTGTGCTGTGGCGCCGACTCAATAGCCTAAATCTAACGTAGTTTTGCATATACTTGAACTTGGCTCCATTTGCTATACTAATCATTATCCTCTTAATTTGGCCCTAAGCATGGGTCACATTGGGGTGTGAGTAAAGTGGAAGGAAGAGGTTATAAGTCAAAACTTAAGATCAAATGCTTCTTTAAGATGTAGATAAATTACCTGCTTCAAAATCTGCCTGGACTTGTTATAAACGTAATACTTAGATTTATTATCTGATTCAGAGAATGTGCGTTTGTAACAGACATCCCAGGCAGTTCTGTGCACAAGAGGTCAGTTTGGTATAATTTCTTTGACAAATAATAAACTCACAGACAGTTCTTTCTCAGAAAATCTCTGAGAATATTTGTATGTAGATTAGCATTTATTGAAAAGTACAGTTGAGTGATAGAACAGCAAAGGCATCAGATGGCCTGAGAATAAAATTTAATTTAAATAAATAAAACAGCTTCAAAATAGCTTTGTATGATTGCTGTGAGCCAAGTGGGGAAACCCAGCCAATCTCAGAAGCTAGCTTGCCTGGAAGAGAAACCCGGATGTGAAGTGCAGCCACCGCAGGAACCAGCCCCACTGAGGGTCTCTATCAGTCCTTTTATGTCAGTCCAAAGGCCCAGGATTTCATGTGCCATTCCAGCCTGTGGAGCTCCCATTATCAAAATGAGTGATTTTCCTTTACAGCGATGGTCAGAAATAGTAGCTTCAGGCTCAACCCCTGTGCCCGTGCTGCTTAGAGAAATAAGCCAGTTCCAAAAAGACAGATACCATATGTTTTCTCTGATCTGTGGTAACTAATAGAGTACCTAAAATGTAATGTGTTGGAGTGAAATTGACATTTGGATAGTCGATGATCGTTTACAGCTCTTGTTTCTACTACTGAGGAACAGTGTTGTTTTTTTCTTCATACTGTTTATTGAGCTCTTTACTTAGTGTGGGGTTAATCTTATGAATATAAAGTAAATTGAAATAGATCTTTGTAAAAATTAAGAGTGGGGGTAGAGGAAGGTGGAGGATGAAGTGTGTGATCATGGGTGGGAGGAAGGTCAGGGTGGGAGGTATCTCTATGTTCCTAAATCTGTATATATGAAATACATGACATTTGTATGCCTTAAATAAAATTTAAAAAAAAAAAGGAAAAAAACCCCTGTGCCTGTGCTTCTGAAGGAAGTAGTCTGAAGCGTAGTCAGAGATTAGAACGTGAGGTCCAAATACTTAGGAATTTTCTGCTTTTAGTTCTGACATTTACCTGTGGTGAGTTACGCCCTTGTTTGTAGTTTCCAGCATTCAGTGCTAAATACTTGCAGAAGAGGATACTTTTTCCTTTGTTTGCTATTTGGGAGATAAAATTCTGTTAAGAGCTCTAATCTGTAAAATAAAACTTCTCACACATTCTAAAAAGATTTACTTATTTATATGAAAGGCAGAGTGACAGAGAGTGAGAGGGAGAGACACAGAAAGAGGGATCTTCCATCTTCTGGTCCATTCTCCAAATGGCTATAATGGCCAGGGTTGGACCAGGCCAAATCTAGGATCCTGAAGTTCCACCCATGTCTCGTACATGGATGGAAGAGGCCTAAATACTCGGGACATCTTCTGCTGCTTTCCCAGGTACATTAGCAGGAGCTGAATTAGACATGGAGCACCTGGGACTTGAACTAGCACTCCAATTTGGGATATTGACATGGCAGACAGTGGCTTAACCCACTGTACAATAAAGCTGGGTCCCTTATGAATTTCATAGTAAGCAATTTTCTTGGCATTAGCTAACAGCTTTCACCCAAAACTAGATCATATGGGATATGTATATATATATATATATATATAATGCAATATGATATAAAGATTTTAATGTCTTCTTATACTAGGTTCCTGTTGATATTCAAATGAATGATAAGTATATGATGAATGGAACACACGCTAATGAAACAAGGCTCAAGATAATGCATCTTTCAGAAGAAGATGGGGGATCCTACTGGTGCCGGGCACAATTCCACCTGGGCGAGAGTGAAGAACACATTGAGCTTGTCGTGCTGAGCTTTTGGGTGCCTCTCAAACCATTTCTTGCAATAATTGCTGAGGTTGTTCTTTTAGTGGCCATTATTCTGCTTTGTGAAGTGTACACACAAAAGAAAAGGAAGCAACCAGGTAGGGTTTGTGTTTTTAGATTACATTACACTTAATAATCATAAGTATCACATACGATATGTGTTATGAGTTGGTACATTCCAGTCACTTTAGAGTTTTGAGGAAAGAATCTTAATAATAATGGTGAAAGTATATCAGTCATCTTCCTGTTTCAATTTTTAAAAAATTTTTAGTATTAAGATTCTGTTTTTTTCTTTTTTTTTTCTTTTGGTGCTCCTGGTACCAATGCACCAACTAGGTAATATGTATGTCAGTACTGGAATATTAGGAAAATCTGTGATAATATGAAAAGTCTTAAACAATTACCTTGTCATTTAGATAGTTCACTGAAAAATGTTTGGCCTTCTGGAATTCTTATAAAAGAGACCTTGTCTTGTCAGTTTCCAACTTTCCTAGTGTCTGCCCAGTGAATGAAGAGTGCAGATGGTCCTTTGAGAACTTTATCTTGCATCCTGTATTCTTTCCTGATTTTGTACTAAATCTTTTTGCTAATATAAATAATGGCAAGCTCTAATCAGTCATAGTTTTCGAAGTCCCAGAGCACTGAACTGTGGTTGATTAGAAATGCGGGTAGGGCCTGGAGGGCAGATAAGGGGAAGGCATGAAGGAAGTGCGGATGTGGGAGGCAGCCCGCCTCTCCCCCTTTCCCAAGGGGAAGCACAGCACAGTGTATTCTTGGGGAAGGGGAGAGATTAAATTGAACATAAGAAATATCAAACTAACCTTACTTCATGGCCAAATTCTTCTTACAGATGAAGGGAAAGAATTTGAACAAATTGAACAGTTGTAAGTATTACATTTTACAGATTAATTTTCACTTGAGTAAAATAAAAATTCATATGAAGCTGAATCAAGATTCCAGCTGAGGATAAAGCATCAGAAGATCAGGCGTGTGTGTTATTTTCTGTACCACCCTTGCGATGATGAAGCGTGGCATCCAGAACCAGGAGTCTGCATTAGCATCCCCCTCCATTGCCTGCTACACTCTTTTCTTTTCTTTTTTTTTTTTATTATTATTATTTTTTTTTTATTTTTTGACAGGCAGAGTGGACAGTGAGAGAGAGAGACAGAGAGAAAGGTCTTCCTTTGCCGTTGGTTCACCCTCCAATGGCCGCCGCGGCGGGCGCACTGCGCTGATCCGATGGCAGGAGCCAGGATCCAGGTGCTTTTCCTGGTCTCCCATGGGGTGCAGGGCCCAAGCAACTGGGCCATCCTCCACTGCACTCCCTGGCCATAGCAGAGAGCTGGCCTGGAAGAGGGGCAACCGGGACAGAATCCGGCGCCCCGACCGGGACTAGAACTCGGTGTGCCGGCGCCGCTAGGCGGAGGATTAGCCTGTTGAGCCGCGGCGCCGGCTGCTACACTCTTTTCTGTGTGCTTCGGTTTTCCCTCTACAAAAGGAGCTCAATAATAGCCCTTGCCACATAGCTGAATGAATATTGCATATGTCAAAATGCTTAGTGCAGGCGTGAAGCACAGGTGTTCGATAACACAGTGATTCTCCACCTTGGCAGCATTTTCAATGACTTAAGAGGATCGTACAAAATACAGGTGCACAGACCTTGCTCGATCTCCTCCATCAGAACCTCTGGGATTGGGGTTTGGGGATCTGTATTTTTTTGCAAACATCTCCCAGTTGTTCTGGTTTTGTCACATTGAGAATCACTGGCCTAGGATTCTCTTGCTCATATTTTTTAGAGAACACCAGTCGTGCCGTGTGTTTGCTTCCAGCTCCCTTGTTTACATGAGAAGGCTAGGGTTAAAATCACCAGGGACGTAACTGAGTGTGACTGAGGTGACAGTGGCTGACTCTCCAAGCTGGGGAACTGAGTGTGGAAGCTGGAGACAGAGCTGCCCAAGTCTGAGGAACGGAGCCAGGGCTGGAGACCAAGAAATGAGAATGAATTAAAGAAGCTTAAAGAAAGCTGAGAAATGGGAGACCCGAGCAACCGTTCCCAACACAAAACAGCACTTAAAGTTTATCCCTATTAGCCAGCACGTGCTGGGAGGGACTGGTGTTGAAGCAAAGCAGAGCTGGCAGCATTGAGAAATTCACGGACATTGTTCAAGTAGGTGTTTTTGATCAGTTCACATACAGGAGGTAAAATACATCAGCAAGATAGGAACTTCCAAATTAAAGACACAAAATAATTATATGAAAGGTTCCATAATACCAGTTGGGGTAAAAGCAGTGTTGTCTTAGAATGAGAGACTCTCATAGTTGGAAGGGATTGCTCCTCTCCCAGGCAGTCAGTCCTCCTGGAGAACTGGGCATCCTGTTTATATTCATTTACGATGTTAATAGTTCCGATTCCCATGTATTGGTCCTTTTTCTTAGAGTTATCTAATAAACACGGCAGCCATTCACATGCTGGAAGGCAGTTGTCTGGGTTCTGCTGTTTTCTCAGCTCAGCCTCCCCCGTGTCTCTGATCACTTCTGCGAGATAGAGGTGGAGGGTGCATTCTGGTGTGTTTAATAAATACTCTGAAAGGATGGTGCCTGGACACTGGAATGGACTATAGCTTCTGAATAATTGAATTTTCACTTATGCAACCTATTCTACTCTTTAATACTCTCTAGAGTGTTTTAGAAGTAGTGTCAAACTGATTCAGTCTGTAACAGCAAAGGTGGACTTTCTTTTTTGGAAACTCGGGATAATCTACATCATTTTGTCTATTTTATCTGTATTAGAGCTCACTGAAAGTGTGCGGCTTTCTCATCTTTAGGTTGTAACAGTATCCTTAGATTTACTACAAATACCAAGGACATTTGAACTCATAGAGCATCCCTCTATCAACGATCCTTTGAGAATTTTTAGTTGAGATCACTGGGGGGGGGGCAGAGGTTAATTTAATATATGATATACATTTATATGTGCATCATGCTTACACATGTGTTTAGATACCCATAATTTATTCAAGATTCTTGATAAAAGTGCTTTAAAATTGTACTAAATGTGTGTAATATTTTAGAAGGTCAGTCACTTCAAATATTTCAATGAGAGCTCCTCAATTATCTGATTCACTCAGGCATTTAAGCCCTACAGTGCTACATACCAGTCATACCCCACTTTTGACAAAATTGATTAGTTGGTTGGATTTATTATGCAAAGGCTAGTAGCTAACTCGGTAGGCCTGTGCGTAAGACCTTGAAGGACATCCGTTAGGTACCCTGCTTACCTAGGTTACTCGTTCCTAAGAATCTGAAGCCCACGTTTGTGGTCGTGCTCTGATGCACATTGGGTAGATAAAGAACCAACTTTAACCTCTAATTCAATATAATAAACATATCAGATTATAACACCAGTGGCACACAAGTGGACTAAGTACCTCATTGACTATACTATCTTGCATGTTTCAAAGCAATACATACATTGTGATGATAAGCTCAAGCTCCACTTATGCTTGGGGGGAAGTAATCCTTCCTCTGCATAAAAGGAGCAAGCCTTTGTCTCCATCATCAGTGGCAATAGCTGCAGTCTCAGCAATGGCCTAACAATACCATCAGTATTACGAGTAAAATATTTTTAGTAAGGATAAATTCTGTGTATTGATATTTTACATTTTAACCTGATAGCTATGATAGACTGGTCTACAGACTTAATTTTAGGCAATGTAAGCATCTAATGATTTTCCCTCTTGTTTTCTTTACAGGAAATTAGATGATAGCAATGGTATAGAAAATAATGCACCAAGGCACAGGAAAAGTGTAAGTCACTCTAAATGATATTCCAAATAATAAGTAAATTCAATATACTTCCACCACCTATTAACCCACTTGCTTTTTTTTTTTTCAGTTTCATTAAAGTCCTAGTCATTCACTATTTGCTTGAATATACTTGTTTATACTATTATAGGGTAAAATATACAATTACACAAAAGTACACGGCATCCTTTTCTACCAGAGAACAGGTAACCACCAATCTACAAGGAAATTGATTATGCTGCTTGTACATTTTTTTTTCTTTTGTCACATTGGGCTAGTTTATTTTAAAATGTTTCATGTACTCTCCGTCTGGGTCTGTCATGTGGGTGGCAAGACTGAAGTACGTGAACCGTCACCTGCTGCCTCCACAGGTGCATGTTACCAGGAAGCTGGAATGGAAAGCAAAGTCAGAACTCAAACCCATACACTCTGATATGAGATGCAGGTGTCCTGTGCGGTAGTTTAACCACTGAGCCAAATGCCCAGCCCTGCATTTCTTTTTCATTGCTCTTAAGTTTTCTCTACTATTATGTTATTTTATTCTCAAAGATTTCCATATATTTGGTGCTATGAACTGTTCCAAAATAGCCAACATTATTTAGCTGACTCACAACTATCTTAGTTCATCATTATTAGAGTAAGAGTTCTTTGTTTGGGCAGTAATAGCATCCCCCTCTTTTGAGTAAGCCTGCCATGCTAATTATGATTATTGTGCTTTATTTCACTCAGGAATCTGTGGGCCAGTGAAGGGGAAACATCATATCAAGAATCATGGAATGATGTACCATGTGCTTGTATTTCACCTTGTTTGTCCTTCCTGTTTAAAGCATCTGAGTTTTTATTTTTAAAAGGATGAAAATTTATGCAACATATACAACAGATCATAAATAACATATGCTATCTCTTGTCAAAAGACCTATTTTCATTCTGTAATTGTTTTACATTAGAGCAAAGTGAATTGAATTAAATACATTCTACAAACTATCATCCAGGATAATTAATTTCATCCTGGTCATAGCGGGACACACAAAACAGACACCAGCAAAATCAGCTAATTGTCATATAACAAGAGTCACTCAAGACCTATTTATAACCAAAGAATTAATTAAAGAGAAATTCTTTGTTATTTCTCTTAAAACATTTTTCCAATCATGCCTACTATGTATAGATGTATTTGTAACAGTTCTTCTGTAGTTTATTCTTCTGTGATATTGAAAAAAATAGTCTTCCTTAGGAAATGTATACTTTCTGCTTTTGCTTATGGTGGTTACTCTTCATTGTCTACAGAATGACTCCTTATCCATAAACATTGACCATGACAAGGAAATAAAACTACACACTTGCCCCAAAGCTCTGTCACTACAAAAGCAAATCTCCAATCTTTATTCCACTCATCTCCACTGCTTCCCTACGTGAAACTGAAGTGCTTCTTAAAGTCAAGCATTTGTTTTTTAAGCCATGAGTGTTGTACTTCTTAAGGTAGACCTGGTATTGATATTTTAAGGTTTAAGTGCCATGTAGTCATAATGAAACTGCTATATTGATGCTTTTGTGGTTCATGGTGTTTTACTATCTTTTATTTGATGTCTGATTTCCTGGTATGCAACACTATTTAAATAGCTAAAAATGAATTATTGGTGCTTTACAATAATAATTAACTGGAAATCCAGAAGTACTGAAGTTCTCCTTTTATTTTGTTCTGAATGCCTTAGGCTTACCTTAAAAACATAGGATATTTAATTTCTGTTGCATGTATAACTGAAATCTTTTATAAACACACTATAACCAAATCAAATGAAATTTAATAGACTTGAAAAATTGTCAGCTTTGAATGAAATATTAAAATCATGCTTCAGGATATTAGGTTAGGCCTGAGATCATGATATGGCACTTGCTGGGTGCCTTGGTGTTTGGTGGGTCCAGTGTCCCGATGTGCACAGGGTAGCAGCTTAAAGTAACGACAATCAGAAGACTGTAGAGCATAGAATGGTGGTGAAGCAGCCACAGTTCTTAGTGACTATGAGATTAAAGCTTGAGGAAGAGGAATTCAATGATTGAAAGGAAAAAAAAAATTGTATGTAAATGTATCCCATGTATTGGCTAAGAAAATTATAAGCCAGCGCTGTGGCTCACTTGGCTAATCCTCTGCCTGTGGCGCCAGCACCCCAGTTCAAGTCCCGGTTGGGGCGCCAGATTCTGTCCTGGTTGCTCCTCTTCCAGTCCAGTTTTCTGCTGTGGCCCAGGAGGGCGGTGGAGGATGGCCCAAGTGCTTGGGCCCTGCACCCGCCAGGAGGAGGTGCCTGGCTCCTGGTTTGGATGGGCCGCAGTGCGCCAGCCGCTGCGGCCTTTTCGGGGGTGAACCAATGGAAGGAAGACCTTTCTCTCTGTCACTCTCTAACTGTATAACTCTGCCTGTCAAAAAAAATTATAATAAAGTCCAATAGTAAAAATTATATAACCTCTTAAGTGATGATTACATTACTGCTAATATGAATAATACACATAGGTGGTGACTTGGAGCTACCCATTATTTTGTTGCTTAAAAAATGTAGTATTTTGTTGTAAAGTATGTTAATTACATATATGTTTTAAAGATTTATTTTATTTATTTGAAGGGTGGATTAACAAAAAGAAGGGGAGAGAGAGAGAGAGAGACAAAAGGATCTTCCATCCCCTGGTTTACTCCACAAATGACTGCAATGACCCAGGGCTGGGCCAGGTCAAAGGCAGGAGCCTGGGGCTTCATCCAGTTCTCCCACATGGGTGGCAGTGTGCAAGTACTTGAGCCCTTTCTGCTTTGCTTTCCCAGGGCATTAGCAGAGAGACGGATCCGAAGCAAACAGGCGGGGACATGAATGAATGCTCCAATATAAGACATATCTGAGTTTTATTTCTCTTTTTAAAATTTTTAAATATTTAGTTAGTTTATAACAATTCGATATAGTTTGTGGATACAGTTCTAAGAAGAATATAATGATATTCTCTTCCTCCTCCCTCTCTCCCCCTCTTTTTGTTTCTACCTTCCTTGGCTTGCCTTTCTTTTTATACTGTTTTGAGATAACATTTTAAACTTGCATTGGAGTAAAGTGCTTAGCATACATGAGTTTATTCTTCGCCCTCAGTGCTATGACTTTATTGTGGTTTAATTCATGTTAGCTTAACAAAATTACCTGGAGTGATACCTACATGGTAGTTTACAACCAGTTAGCTTAATTAATCTAAGCATGTTAAATTCACTGAAAAATTAGTCAAACCTACTCTTTGACTAAGATACAAAACCATAACCAATATGCAGCTCATTTGCAGAATGCATCCTTGCATTTTGCTGCCATGGTTGTTTAGGCTAAAACAGTTTTAAAGCAAGAAAAATTGGTGCCCAAAGGTAAAATAATCTGAAATATTTATGTAGTAAATTGAAATTGTAAGTGACACTGCTTGCTATTTACTTTTTTTTTCCTAGCAAAAACAATTTATCTAAGAAACTTTAAGCAGAAAAAAATTCTCAAAAATTAAGATGAATTTTGGCTTTAAGGAATCTCCTTGGAAGACTTCTAAAAAATTATTTCACCACTGTTAGGCTAAAATGAAATGCTTCCCTTAAATAAACTCATGGAGACGGTGAATGGAATAACTAATAACTACCAGTTGTGGATCAACTGCAGATTCTAAGCAGCAGGAAAGCTGAACGAGGAAAACGACTCCAAGTTTATGTATTACACATCTCAGGAAATCCTGTTAATCTTTCCAGCCAGTGGTTTTCTCAGCATACTAAGTAGATTTCATGATGTTCTTTGTGTAATAAATCTTTTTAAAAAGTCATATGATTCCCAGATACTTTCAGATTCAGTGTATACTAAAACGTAAATCATCTCCCTTTGCGATCTTTGTTTTCCCCCAGCACCTAGTTACTCAGGCCCACACCTAGATCTCACTGTGGTATTTTCTTCTCCTTCATTTGCTGTGCCTTATTGGTCATGAATGCCTGTTCCCTTGACTTTAACGGCTCATGACGTCATTCTGTTGCCTCCCCACTGCATCCCAGCCCGCTGAACAGCTAATGCCTTGATTTTCCTACCTCTGTGTGCTTTCCTGTCAGTCTATCTTGTGCATTGCTGTCAGAGTGCTCTTCTAAAACACAGACCTTGCTATGTAACTTAACGCAGCAGGTTCTGTGCCAAGCCTCTGTGGGCTGGCCTTTGCTCTTGCGTAATGTTGCAGTCCTTCCATTCACTGTCTCTCCCAAGTGTCTTAAAGTAGCCTTGCACTTAGAGATTTGGCTTAGAATGCTTCCCAACTTGACTGACTCAAGGTTGCTTAATCTGATGTCACATTTTGGAGGCTCCCTTATACACAGTGTGATATGTACCATCATATGCACCCAACTAACTTTCTGTGTATTTGTGTTTATTATCCACTAGCTAAATATATTTGTGGGTCTTTTTTCTTGAATTGTGCCTTTTATTTCCATGTATTGTACCCACCACGGTGAGGATGTATTAGAGATATCATGAAATGCATGAATGAATGAAGGCATACATGAAACTCAAGTTGCACAGATTTATGCTTATTTTTAGAGATAGTCTAGTGTGTTGCTTTCAACTTAATTAAATTCTTTTAATCCTCCATGCTTCATGGAGGATAAAAATATAAACCTTATTTTTCATTCTGTTTCTTGCAACATGATTCTTTGACCTTATATATAAGAAATTTTAGATAATTGTATTGTGCCCACCCAATATACCTTTTCATTCCACTTCTCTTCCAGGATTTTATGAAACCTTACAATATATTGAATACAATTCAAAATGTAGTCTTTAACAATTTTTAAAGGTTTCATTGTTTAGTTTTAATTATGGAAAGCACATCTCTCATCAAATTCATCACAAGAAAAAGCTATCAGTTCTGTTTCCTTGTTCGCTAGGTAGACTTTGAGGAACTTAAGTAGGTTTATACAAAATGATTTACTGAATATATACTATACTTCTTAATAGAAAAATGAATCTTCTACGGTTGAAAAAAAATCCATGCAAAGAATTAGAGACTTACTTCCTATTAACATTGTTCATCTTTAGGTGGAAAAAAGTTCAAGTATTTTTCCAGTATTGACTAAAAGGCATAGTTACCTATTCATAGCATGCTCTGAATAAGTATTTATTAAAGGAAAGCAAAGGAGAGGGATGGCTTCCATTGTTTTATAATCTTAAATTGTGCGTATTTAAATACTGCTTGCTTTGGTTTTGATTAATACACCATTAATTTATCCTACTTTGATATAGAGAAAAAGAAAATGGAACTATGGGCAATTCTTTCATGTGGGATTTAGGAATATATTTACACTGTATCTAGAAGGGCCAGTGCATGCCCTTTTTACCAAGTGAGTTTTTCATTAAGAATGTATCATTCTATTCAATAATAATAGTTGACATTTGTTGACTGCATAGTGTGGGGCAAATTGCTTTGAAATGTTTTATCTCATTTAATCCCACATCCTGCTATACTATAACAATATTTATTATCTAATTTTTTGAATAGATAAGGAAACAAGTGTAGAGAGATTAAGCAAATTATCTGAAGCCACCCTACCTGCAAGTGTTAAGAACTGGGATTGAAATACAAGGAATTTGCCTCAAGACCCAAGGTTTAACTTCCATTTTGAACTATTTTCTTCTGCCAGATACACTCTTTATAGAAAACGAAGCTATTAGCTATCACTCATAATTTTTTATAAAAGAAATTTCTCTATTTTAGCAGGCAGTTGTAACTTAATTTCTATATTCCTACTCTCAAGGTTTAGGGGACACATGCTTTGTCAGCTTGTGTCCCTGTAGTGGTGCTTTGGAATCTGCACGATTTAATTTGTTTTAGGAAACTTTTGTTCTTTGGCTAATTGTATTTATCAGTAGTGAGGGTGACCGTAAAATTTATCAGCTGAACACTGAAAATGAAAGAAGGTGCTATTTTTAATTCCTGTAGGACAGCAGGCAGAGACCAGACCCTGTGGTCATATGTTTAACCTGCAGAGAGGAACTAAGTGCTTTATAGATGTTTGACCCAACACAGAGCAGGAACATCCACATTGACTTTGAAAGATAAACAGAAATTAATTTTCAGGGAAATAGCTGTTTTTAGATTATGCAGGGAATTTCCCTTTATTTAGTAAATTCCAGGTGAGTCTCCCTCCAGCAAAATGCCCAAAATGAGGTAATTTAGTAAGCTTAAAGTTTTATTACTTTCCAAAAGTATCTAACAAGATTAAGATTTATTGGCATTCAGAAGTATGATTCACAAGTTACAAGAGAAGCTAGCCAAGAAAGTCATGTTTTTGCTGGCTTATGGAGAGAACATCACTATTCTTTTGACTTGCATATCTTCTAATAACTACTAATAATGCCTTTGTGATTGTCAATAAGACATACCTCATTATGCATTTGTAATAAAATTTGCTTATGACATCAGTGAGAATCACCCATGTATACATTCTAAAGTTACTTTTAATCCCATGGTTAACCTTCATTATCCCAAAGGGAAAAAGCTAGGGACACTTGTTTAAGATATTGGTTAAAATCTATATTTTATTTTTGTGTACATCTGTTTTAAAAGTTTGTTTATAAAAATTAATTTTGTTATATAATTTCTGATTTATCTCAAAATAATTAGCACAAGTTCTTATTTTTCTAAAGTTTGATAAAAATGAAAATATTAGATTTATTTTGTAATTAGCTCTAATGCTACTTAATGTCACAAAAGAATAGTACAAAATGTGATTATATTAACTATTTTGTACCTTTTAAGACAGAAATTTGACCATTTAGATTTATTTAAATTAAGCATCATGGATTTCTTATGACACAATTCTTAAAAAATGTAATGTTCTTTTTTTTTTAGCATGCATATGTAAATTCTCATCAGAATGAAATGCCTTTCTGTATTGTATAAATAGTTCAGAAAATGTCTCCATAGGAATGTTTTAAAAATGCTTTTGTCACATATAACTCACAGAATATATGTAATATGCAATTATATTCAATAAAATGTACTTTGTGAATTAAAATTTAAGTGTTGGAAAATACATTTTCAAGTTTTTCATTTTTAATTTCTTTTTTTTTCTTTTTTTTTCCTTTTTTTAACTTTTATTTAATGAATATAAATTTCCAAAGTACAGCTTATGGATTACATTGGCTTCCCCCCCATAACCTCCCTCCCACCCGCAACCCTCCCCTTTCCCACTCCCTCTCCCCTTCCATTCACATCAAGATTCATTTTCGTTCCTCTTTATATACAGAAGATCAGTTTAGCATACATTAAGTAAAGATTTCAACAGTTTGCTCCCACACAGAAACATAAAGTGAAAAATACTGTTTGAGTACTAGTTATAGCATTAAATCTCAATGTACAGCACAGTAAGGACAGAGATCCTACATGAGGAGTAAGTGCACAGTGACTCCTGTTGTTGACTTAACAAATTGACACTCTTGTTTATGGCATCAGTAATCACCCTAGGCTCTTGTCATGAGCTGCCAAGGCTATGGAAGCCCCCTGAGTTCAGCAACTCTGATCATGTTTAGACAAGGCCATGGTCAAAGTGGAAGTTCTCTCCTCCCTTCAGAGAAAGGTGCCTCCTTCTTTGATGACCCATTCTTTCCACTGGGATCTCACTTGCAGAGATCTTTCATTTAGGGTTTTTTTTTTTTTTTTTCCCCAGAGTGTCTTGGCTTTCCATGCCTGAAATACTCTCATGGGCATTTCAGCTGGATCCGCATGCCTTAAGGCTGATTCTGAGGCCAGAGTGCTATTTAGGACATCTGCCATTCTATGGGTCTGCTGTGTATCTCACTTCCCATGTTGGATCATTCTCTCCCTTTTTTATTCTATCAGCTAGTATTTGCAGACACTATTCTTGTTTATGTGATCCCTTTGTTTCTTAGTCCTATCATTATGATCAATTGTGAATAGAAATTGATCACTGGGACTAGTGAGATGGCATTGGTACATGCCACCTTGATGGGATTGAATTGGAATCCCCTGGTATGTTTCTAACTCCACCGTTTGAGGTAAGTCAGCTTGAGCATGTCCCGAATTGCACATCTCTTCCCTCTCTTTCTCCCACTCTTATATTTAACAGCAATCACTTTTCAGTTAAGTTTCAGCACTTAAGAAGAATTGTGTATTGATTACAGTATTCAACCAAAAGTATTAAGTAGAACAAACAAACAAACAAAATACTAAGAGGAATAACATATTAAGCTGCTCATCAACAGTCAGGGTGAGGGCTGATCAAGTCACCGTTTCTCATAGTGTTCATTTCACTTTAACAGGTTTCCTTTTTGGTGCTCAGTTAGTTGTCACCTATCAAGGAGAACAAGTGGTATTTGAATGGAAACACACTAGATGACAGGAAACACTAAATGTGTGTGTGTATCCCCATTGAAAATTTCAATTTTGTTAAAAAATTCCTTTTTCTCAAGCCCAAGAAAAAATATACCTCTAGCTCGAGCTCTGCTTTTACACATCAAATTGAAAGTCACAAAGTAATTCAGTGTACAAAATATATTTGGAAAGTTTAAATGGCAGCCATAACTTTGATAAAAGTAAATATTTAAAATGAAGCTGTAGAACAAATTTATTTGTTGTCCTAGGTAAATGTTTTTCAATTTTAAGGGTTATTTTAGATTGAATCATTAAAAATGGTTGTGAAGTGTTTCAAAATTTGTGTTCTACAAAAATACCTGCTGTAAAAGAGAATCAATATTCTAAATAGGACATTTTAATAATTCTTACAGGCAAAAAGAAAATATTAGGGAGTATACAAGAATATTTCACTCTGTTATATTTGACCCTTACTTTAACCAAAATAATTTTATATGTACCTTAAAATTATTAATGGCTAACAATGCAGTGTTCATGTTCTATAGCATGAATCTGATTTAAAGGAAAGAAGTAATTGTCTATGGCACTGACCAGATTTAAAAACAGTGATTGGGCTTCAACTTCTGGAGAAATGCCTAGATATACCTTCCCTTCCCTCGTGGGAAGTACAGCTAACAATAGACCACACAAAACCAAGGATAAAAGATTCTGACCACCATTATAACCCACCCCCATCCCTAATAGCAAAGGGATAAACGTGGATCTGGGTATGGGAGCCAAGACTCTCATTCCAATTGATGGTAGTGAGGAAACTCTTCCATACCCTGGGGGATGCTTGAGCCCCTAATCCTGCCAGAGAGAAACCAGGTATCCCACTTCCCCTGGATTGTCATTGGAGGCAGAGTGAGGAACCTGGATTTCTGACTACACCTAACAGAAATGAAGTGAAGTACCTTTTCCTCAACCAATTGTGTCAGGGGAGGCCAGCTAAACAGAATATTTAAGCAATATCTAGAGTCTCATAAAACTAATGTGCTCATTTCAATAAAAACTCATGCCCTATCAAGAATCACAAAATTCTCAACCTGACTGTGGGAAGAAATGATAAACATATGTCAACACCAAGATGTAACAAATGTTAGGATGATCTTTTTTAAATTTTTATCTGACAATTATTTAAAACAGCCATCATCAAAATGCTTCAGAGAAATTACCAAGATATGAATAATAGAACGCCTAAAAGCATGAAAATAAATAGAAGTAACATCAATTCTACGTAATTTCTTGCAGACACTTAAAGAACATTTCTCAAATTGTTTTTATGAAACCAGTTTTAGCCTACTATCCAAATCAAAGACAGTCCAAATAGTAGAAACCTTTAGACTAATGTATTTCATGAGTATAGATCAAAAAACCCTTAACAAAGTGTTAGAACTATAGCTGGGCGATACATAGAAATAAAGCTGTTTCTTTTTGGAGATGACATGATGGGCTACCTGAAAAATTCTTTCTTTGAATAGGTGTCCTGCAGCCATTGTAATAGCTACAGTGTGGTCCAGGTGGTAAGAATAACCAATGAGGGCTGACAATGACTTGGAGTGGCAGGAGACAGTGTGTGGCTAGGGATAACACTCAACAGTGCATGTTTATGAGTGAGACAGACACCTGCCTGATGACATGATGAGCCAGCTTACCTGTTTTTATATAAAACATTAAATTTTATGCAATAATTTTTTTTACTTTAAAAACTACGGAGATTCTCAAAACGATTATCAAGCTACATAGATTCTTCCCTTTGTTGTGCTGTGAAGTTTCTAGAGGTGGAGCAAACAAAAATCTTTCACCTACACATAAAACTTAGAAGTTTGGGGCCAGCGCTGTGGCACAGTGGGTTAAAGCCCTGGCCTGAAGCACCAGCATCCCATATGGGTGCCGGTTCGAGTCCCAGCTGCTCCTCTTCCGATTCAGCTCTCTGCTATGGCCTGGGAGAGCAGTAGAAGATGGCCCAAGTCCATGGGAGACCCAGAAGAAGCTCCTGGCTTCGTATTGGCACAGCTCCGGCCGTTGCGGCCGTCTGGGGAGTGAACCAATGGATGGAAGACCTTTCTCTCTCTCTCTCTCTCTCTCTCTCTCTCTTCTCTCTTTCAAATAAATAAAATAAATCTTTAAAACATAGATGTTTAAAATGTTATAAAATAAATCTACCTAAAGACAAATCAAAAGTTTGTTTTTAATTTTGATTTATTTTTAATTGTGATCAGAACACAACTGGAGTTCTACCTTCTTAACAAACTTTCAAGTGCACAATACAGTAGCGTTAAGTATGGACACAATGCTATATAGCAGTTCTCAAGGATGTACTCAGCTTACAAAACTGAAACTTTATACTCTGAATAGCAATCTTTCATTTTACCCTTCCTCCAGCCCCTAGCAACCATCAGTCTATTTCCTGTTTTATGAGATCAAATAGAAGTGGAGTCATACAGTATTTGTTTTTCTGTTATTTGCTATCTCACTAAGTACAAGGTTCTTCAGATTCACTGATATTCTCACATATGGCAGGGTTTCCTTCTCTCTAAAAGCTGAATAATATTTATTGTGTGTATAGATTACACTTCATTTATTCATTTGTTGATGGAAATTATTTTGCTTTAGGCAGTAGTGCTGAAATTAATACAATAGTGCATAAATTGCTTTGAGATTCTGATTTCAATTCTTTTAGATTTATAGCCAGAATGGAATTGCTGGATCACAATTTATATCCATTAAATATTATCGATCTATTAACACTTCTTTACTTATGTTCTTGATATTTTTTATCTTTTAAGTTTCAGAATTAAAATAATTTATGAATACCATTATAGTATGGGTATTATGAGTTTGAATTTATTCTCTTTACTTTTAGCTTTTTTATGGTTCTCTTGCAGCTCATGAGCTCCCTAGAGAATTTTGTGAATCTTATACTTTCATATATTTTCATGTTGCTAGTTAGCATCTTTTTGTTTCTACTAGAACAAATCACTTTGTAATTTCTTTTTTAAAAACTTGTTTTATTTATCTGAAAGGTAGGCTATCAGTGAGAAGAGAGGAAAAGAGAGAGCAAGAGAGAAAAGCAGGTGGATTTTCCATCCATTGGTTCATTCCGCCAAGTGATACAACAGGCAGGGTTTGGCTGGGCCAAAAATCCAGGAGCCAAGAACTCCATCCGGATCTCCCATGTATGTGACAAAGGCCTAAATATTCAGGCCATCTTCTACTGCCTTCCCAGGTGCATTAGCAGAGAGCTGGATTGGAAGTGTGGAGCAGCTGAGACTTGAATTATCTCTGTTATTGTGATGTTGGCATTGAAAGTGGTGGCAAAACCTGCTGGGCCACAAAGACAGCCTCACTTTAACATTTCTTGTAATGAATGTTTTGTGATGGTGAACTACTTCTCTTGTTTTTTAATTTGGGAAAGTCTCTTCTTATTTTCTGTAGGATAATTTTTTTTTCAAAATTGTATTTTTTATTTGATAGCAGGGGTTGTGAGTTGGGGTGAAGACAAGGGGAAAAGAGATTTTTTCCATTTTCACTGGTTCATGCCGCAAATGCTCACAGCAGCCAGGGCAGTTTAGTTTATATACCTACAAACTCCATCGGGATCTTCTGCATGGGTAGAGTGTGGGCAGCATCCACTGCTTTCCC